CGCAGCCTTGGCGGAGACCAGTGCGAACACTGAATGGTTTCGACTTAACGCCATTAACTTTGACACAGCATCTGCTATCAGAATACAGTGATTGGATAGCCCTTGGCAACTTGCCATCATTCCCGTATGCACGAAGGCATGTCCACAGACTGTTGCATGGGATCCGGTCATACGCTTTCTCTAGGTCCACAAAACACATGTACACTGGCTGGGCGTACTCCTACGATTTCTCAACAATTAAATTTTCATTAAGTGCTAATTGCAATTAAGCAATGAACGGACTTTACTCTGTGCCAATGCAAACAGTTCTAGAATCGGGTTACAACTTTCTTCGCCAGCATCAAATGACAGCAGAATGGTATTCTGATGCAGTGTTAGTGAAGAGCCTGCGATATGTGCGAACATTCGTTTTACTGCTGACTAAATCTGCTCGAAATATAACCTGTAAATAAAATGTAGAAATATTCGTGTATTTTCTTCCGCCGAAAGACCCAGATTCTGACTATACAAAGTACAACGGATACTATATTTTCTTTTCCTGATCTCTTCCATTAAACACCATTCCACAGAATCTTCCATACATTTTTAATGCCAGTGATCCCATCCTTCATTTTCTGTTTCAGCGATAAACGGCACGACCACTGGCATAATTGGCATGCTTCTCTAGGGATTTGATCTTTCTCTTTGGTCTTCAGGTCACTGTGTGCTTTTCGACAGATTTTTGATATTCGATACTCAGCGTTTCTAAACGACATGAAACGTCCCCAACGTACAGGGCAGGATCAAGTGGCTCCAATTTGGTGAACACCTGGCATTGTTCTTTTGAATGAAGCATATGTTGTTTCTTCGATTGACGAAGTGCCGGGACCGTATATCTGCTCCGTAAAATGAACCTCGTTTCCACGTTCATGAAACGGGCCAGTGTCAAGGTATGACCAAGAATCACACAATAGAACTTATTTTGCTCTCTGCCATTGTGATGATGAGCAACAAATCTCATGAATATGATTCAGCTGACCCAGTAATGGCAATATGTTGCTAAGATGCATTCTCCATCCTTTATAACAAAAGGACCATTCCTGCATCCTCCACCCATCTGTATAACAGAAGGATATATGACTACTCTGACTTAGATTGCTGCATTTTGTGATGTAGTAGTAAAGTGAGAAAGCTAACTTGAAGCTCAATTTGTTTAACTGAACCAAGCGTTCCATTTTAAAGCGAAGCGTTTGAAGCAGGTCGTGCCTAAATTTTATGTTGATATCAATGGTTTGACATCGATATCTTTCAGTAGCAGTAGTTTGGGGCATTGTGACACAGTACCAACGAAGTCGGTTTTAATCTCCGAAGGTGCTGGGTTCGAATCCGCTGAAGGAACAGCCTTTGACCTACCCTTAAATTCGTCTGAGCAAGAAATTGGCTGATCATTGCTTCGGCGCCACCAGCTGAGTGTTGGATGGTATGTCGTTGACTTGTGAATAACAGCGACACACAATGTTGTGGTGTAGTCATACCAAAATGGGCGACGTGTACCGCTATGCTGTCCGATGCGAGCGTTCTTTGTGACTATACTTCGCCTTTGCCAAACTGATTGTTCAGTATAATAATCAGCAGAATTTGTAACGCCAATTTCTTGTCTTTCCTTACTTATGTTTTTGTAGCATTAACCAAGGCATCAGCCATTTTGTAGTTGTGGTAACAGTAGTATTTTGTTTAGAAACAGTATCAACTGATGGATTTCACCGCCGATGCTCAGCTAATGGTGAAGTGTTTGAAAGAGTTTATCGATCGTGGAAAGCGCGTCACCCTTCGTTTCTTGGGAGAAATATATCGAGGTGAATAAAGCTAACTGGACCCATGCTACGTTTATTTTATATTGTTGATTACTGAAGCTAACGAACCTCAAATGCGAATAAATCGTGTTTCACAGCAGTGATAAGTTAAGTTAAAATATTATGGATAGATGACCTTGTATACAGGTATATAGACAGGCCCTCAGATAAACAGACATAAGAAATAAGTAAATATAGATAGATAGGTAGGTATAATTGTATGTGAATGCACTGGTAGATAAATAGTCAGATAAACAAATAGATAGATAAGCAGACAGCACGCAGGTAAACAAATGGAGAAAGCTAGATTGAATGGATCAGTGAATAGGCAGTATCATATATAGATAGGTTGATAAACAGACTAATAAATGATCACGAGAGCCTGTTATAAACCCTGAAGTTGATGCTCTACGACGGAATGATAACCAGTGCCGACAGAAGTCTTTCTGCATCACACAAAAATTATGTGTATGATAATTGCAACATGATTACATTGCTAGGCAGAAGTACTGAAAGCCACTGTCAGTATTGATTCCGTGGCAGTGTGACACCTTTCAATCATGCCGCCTACCTTCTGGACAGATGATGACGATTCGTAAGTAAGAAAGTGACAAAAGAGACTTGTGACGTCTGACGAACAACGTCAGAAAATTGCGAAAGGATTCTGCAGTTTCGCTAACTGAAAGGCTGTCATCATAGACAAGGACACTAACTGCTAAATAAATTGACAGACATATGGATAGGTAGATTTACAGACAGAAAAATGCACTAGTAAACAAGCACGTAGGTTGATCGTAAGGAAAAAGCATACGCAGAAGAATGGAGTATTTTCAATGGTAGATATATGGGTATATGGTCGATCGTTATATTGATAGGTTCGTAATTATACGGTAATATATCATAGCGGTAGTTAAATAATTAAATAGGTAAACAGTGTAAACAGTTAAATATGCAGATAAAATCTTTAACCAACTAATAAGTGGTTAGTAGGTAGGTAGGTAGGTGTGTAAGTGATACCTGTTTATTTCGCAGCCCACTTAACCAGTCAGTCCACCTACCTATATACCATTTTGTTTATCTCCGAATTCCCTGTCTCCCATCTGTGTAGGTATATCGATAAAAATGGATATGTAAATAGACAGATATTTAGATTTATAGGCTGCTACCTCCCAACAAACTTGCTTCTTCTAATACATTGCAGT